CATTGGCAGCTGTGTTGTGGTCAAGGTTAAGACAAAGTCTTCTATTCTGAATGGTCACGAGGACCGTCGTGGGTTTCGCAACTTTGAACCTCAAGCTAAAACAGTCTGAGGGTGCCTACAGACTACTTTCGTGAGGGGATTAGTATTGTGCGTTTGGGTGTGGTGACAAGAACCCCTCATTTGTCTGGAAGTTTCTTTCACTTGGATGGATGGCTTTTGCTTACGTTAGTGCCAGCGTACTTTCCTGGTGCCCTCACAGGTGAGTGGTCAACTGATTTTCTCCGACTGCCTGGTACTAAGTGGGGTGTATTTCCTATGTAGACAAACTCAGTCAAGGAATATACACGAATAAAACAGAAATAAGGCAGTACGGACGTCTCCCTTTCTTTTGGTAATACCCTTTTTATTTAAAGATTCCGACCTCTATGGTAATACAACTGCAGATTTGCCGTCGTTACCAGCCTATGAGGTTATCCTGTTGAGTGATAACGTCGAGGAAAGGGTGAGTTCCACAGAATGATTTATCTGTGCGGGATGTATGTGGATATATTGCTCTGATTAACGTTATCTTCATCTAAGTTAACATCACCTGTGGACAATAGGTCTCTGCAAGTTGAACGTGGAGATCCTCATCTGCCATGCAAGTTGCTGCATTCGTAAGAATCTCAGAGATAACATGGGAAGGGGTGGGGGTAATTGAGGACTTAGTTGGTTTGCATTCTAGTGCCGCGCCGATTCTTGCCCATGTTTTATATCCCTTGGTCCGGGTGAAGGCAACAGGTGTACTCCCCCACTCATTTTCTTTGTACAACGTTGACTGGGAGTTAAGTCAGAAAATATCTTCACCTAGCAGCAAAATGTTTTGGGTGCTATAGTTCTTTGGATGTCAGTGAAGTATCTTGTGTTAAAGGGTGATCTAAACCTAAATAGAACATGGCATTCAAAACCATTGGCTTTTAATCAGGCAGGAAGCATTATGAGCTCTGTCGGTCGGGTCGCATGCTAGTGATCAGTCAGCCTTGATACGGTCCATGGGACAGTTATTAGGAGTATTGGACACAACAGCATCATGAGAGGATCGTTCACTGTTGTTTGCTTCAGCAGCTAGAGGCCGGCTGACCTCTAGCACTTTAATAGATTGTCCGTTAAGGAGTTACCCTTCGGGTTTAACAAACACCAAAGGCTAAACGTGGTTCAATTTACGGTTTTAAGTTTTCGGCCTTGGAGTTAGTAACACGAGTAGCCTGTAGTAATCCTGGTATTGCACACACCTATGAAGATCCATTTTCTCCATTAAAGAGTTCACCCAAGTGGCAACCGCGAAAAGTTCCGGTTATAAGTTTAAACCGTCCACCTTTTCCATGAAAGAGTCTGAGTTCCACTCATAAGTTACCTGGCTGTTTGAAACTTTTTCCTATGATCTCCTGGATAGTTAATCTGGAAGTACAGAGGAGATCGAAGTGACCCATACCCAAGCCATCATTCGGGAGATAATGTGCTAAAGTAATATTTTCCATTTTCATAAGATGCGATAATGTGAATAGACTTAAAATGTCTAATCGTTTTTCACGGGAGATGTTTGAAGTTCCTGTCCTTGACTATTACCCGCTCTTCGTACTCGTCCTGGAGTGCGCTCTCATTGCTCGAAGCAAAGACTAGCCGATTGTGTGCAGTATTCTAAGTGATTTCCTACATAAGTAGGATACAGTATCCTAAATATTTCCCAATTAAAGCATTCAAAGATCCTACGGAGTGACCAACGCATGCTGAGTGACTTGGCTGCTGCGCATCTCAGTGTGCCATCGTTTCCAAGTCATGGTGGACAGCAATCCCAGTATCCTTTTGGTCCCTAAAGCAAGAAAACATTGATCCATTCGCTGAGTAGGGGTAGTGTGGATCTTAACGAATGCATACTTCCCAACTTCTGTTAGAGTTGATCCACTGGCTGCGGGGTTAAAGCGATTCGATCAAATTCATTTCAGTCAGTATGGAGCGCTGTCCTGGCATCACTGTTATGAACAACCCTCCAAACCTCAGAGTCATCTGCAAAAAGCACGCGCAACGACTTCAGCAGACTTGATAATTCACCACAATAGAGAGAGAAGGAGAGAGGCCCAGTACTTCTGCCTGAGGAACTCCACCAGTAATCCGTTTCCGGACAGATAATGCTCCATTTGCTCTGACCCTTTGCCTTTTATCACACAGGCGGTGGCTAGGCATCTCTGGCATGCTAACGTGTACAGCAAAAAGTACAGAATTCTCAAGAAGTTCAAAAGTAACGCCTTATCCAATATCTACCTCAACTTATTAGACATCACGTCATTTAGCAGTTTATTACCTTTTGCGTTCAACATTTCCCCCCTGGTTGAAAGCGAGTTTGCGGAGCAGGAGTACCAAAGCTGGAGGCTGCGCCGCTTCCTTGCCAGCAAGCTGTGTGATTCCATAAAACCCAATAATTTCTCTCCCATTATATTTTCCAAACTTCAACAATTAGGTGGGCCAAACTATTTGTTACTATTATTATTATTTGTGCCTTGGGTTACTAGTGGAACATAGGGCTTCAGCAGCACGTCTCCCTTTCGTAACGCACCAAGTCTCTGGACCATACAGGAGCACTGACTTGACGCTGGTGTTGAAAATCCAGATCTTGTTCCATATGCTGAGTTGAGTGCAGAAGATCTCTACACCGATTTCGGGCTAATGAACGCCTGTCTTGCATTTCCCATCCTAGTTTTCATATCCTCCTCCGTGCCACCTCCGCCTGCAGCTGAAACGGCGCTGCCTAGAAAGGTGAAAGAGGCTGCCTCCCTTAAAATTCCCCGTTGATAATCATCATAGCTCCTTGTTGTTATTGTTCTTGTTGTTGGTGGTTGGGTATCTCCATCACTTCTGTCTTCTCTATATTCACCTGAAGTCCCGTCTTCTTTCGCTGCCTCTTCTGTCAACTTGTTAGTTTTCGCCTGTAGATCTTCAAGTTTGTGTGACATCAGGCACAAGTCATCGGCGAGATTCAGATCTTCCAGGTTCTTTTCCGCAGTCCAGCATATCCCCCTCTTCTCACAGCTCACCACTGTTTGCTGCATGATCCAGTCCAGTCGACCACAATCAGGAATATCATGGGGGATAGTAGGCAACCTTGTTTCACTTCTGTCTTCACTTCAAAAGCATCACTGAGCTTCCTATTGTGAATTACTTGGCTGGCATGTGGCGTCTTCACAAAGTTGTTGAATGAGGCTGATAAAGGTTTGCGGTATTCCATAGTATTGAAGCAGTTTCCAAATTACCTCTCGGTCGACGCTGTCAAAGGCCTTCTCAAAGTCGATGAAGTTGAGGTTGAGTTAAGTTGACTGCCATTCTATACTCTGGTCTATGATGATGCGAAGCGTTGCAATTTGGTCAGCATATGATTTGTACTTCCTGAAGCCAGTCAGACTGTTCCGGTCGTAGTTTTGAATCCAGTGCATCCTTTAGCCTCTCCAGGATGATGCGGCTTAATATTTCGCTTGCTCTGGGTGGACAGGAGTGGAGCGCGCCAGTTCTTGCAAACACTGAGGTCTCCCTTCTTCGGCAGTTTGACAAGGTAACCCTTCTTCCAATCACTAGCCAGGTATCTTCCCTTCCTTCCACACCTTCTGCAATAGTGGTGTGGTGTGAGCATGTCCACTGTTGTCTCTGCGTCTGTTCTCAGTGCTTCTGGCGGGATCCCATCTGGTCCTGCTGCTTTCCCGCATTTCAGTAGCTTCATGGCGTTCAGGATTCCCACTTTTGTTGGAGGATTTATGTTCACTTGTAGTTTAGCGGCTGCAGGTGGTATTTCTGGACGAAGTGCAGGTGGTGGTTGGTTCAAGAGCTGCTTGAAGTGGTCAGCCCATTGTTTCCTTTGTTTCTCTTTTTTCGTAATTAAATTTCCGTCATCATCTTTTATTGGTTTCATGTGTGTTGTGATCTCTTCCCAGATAGCAACCTGGTTATTTGATACAATGTCGTCAGGTCTCTGTCTCTCCTACCTGTAGCCTGTTCTGCTTCACTTGCCAGTGTTTCGTAGAAGTGTCTTTTGTCTTTCCGTGCACTCCTCTTCACTTCTTTGTCCAGTGTTTTATACATTGTATTCAGTTCCTCTTGTCGTTGAGCATCCGTACACTGGTTCATCTTCTGCTTCACCATCCTCCTCTCCCTGCTCTATCAGCTTCCAGGTATCCGTCAAGATCCATTCCTTGTCCTGTCTTACTTCTTCTTCCTTCCTAATACGGTTATGCAGGTTTCCTTCCATGTCTCTTTCAAAGACTTCCAGTGTTCTTCCACACAGGTTTCCTCGGGGATGTTCCTCGATATCTCCCATTTTGTCTTGATGGCTGACTGGCGTGAAGATTTCCGTTGTAGTTTCATCCTTCAGTTTCCGAGTGTTGTACTTGAACTGCGGTCTATCACCAGCTTCCTTGAAGGCTTTTAACTTGATTTGGAAGGTTCCTTGCACTAGATAGTTAGTGGTGTGAACCTACATCTGCTCCTCTTCTTGACCTTGCGTCAAGTAGACTGCGTCCCCACTTTCTTCACACTTGAGGTAAAGTCGATTTGATTCTTAGTGGTGTGTGTGGTGTCTGGTGAAATCCATGTCGCCCTCTTTGTGGATATCCTTGTGCTTGAACACACTGCAATCACCAAATCGTTGAATGCACAGAATTCTGCAAACAATTCTCCATTCTCGTTCATTACCTCACCGAGGGCTTCTTGACCCATGGTTGGTTCTCTTCCTGTGTTGTCCCCTCCCAGTTTGGCATTCATGTCGCCCATTAGAATTTTGATATCGCCAACTGAGGTCTTGTCCAATATTGCTTACAGTTGTCTGTTCATTGCATTTTTCTATAAATAAATCCGCTATTGTGTAAAAAAACCCTAGAAATTCCGTTCAAAAGCTTCTTTTGCTTTAAGGAAGCAAATTAGCCCTTCGATGTTCAATTTAGGAAAAACACACAAAGGGAATTTCTGGGTTACTTTGTTTACTGAGGGGTTCGCTAAAGCGCGTAATTCTCCTTCAAGGTCACGTGCCAGATGTGAGGGTGAGGTATGTTGTTATATCGTCTTTTTGCAGAATCACAGTTTCAAGTGTGACTCATGAGTATTTTTCGTACTTTAAAAATAAATTTTATACCTAAGTGATTTAAGTGTTTCACAGTAGGGTATATTCTATTGTGGTTGGCCGCTGCCGCAATAATTATTACGTTTACTTTAGTAATCGAGAAATGCCAAACAACTATCCAAACGACTTTCCTAATGACCTTTTTCACGTCCTCAACAGCAATGGAATGTTGGCTTTTTAAATGTTTCTTTTAATTTTTAGCTGTGTTTAGCCAGACGAACCACCCCAGCTAGTATACCTACAAATTCTCAACAGAAAGCGTTAAGTGCACTTGGCAGTGCTTCATATCCTCTCTAAAACCTAACGATCCACAAAATTCTTCATTTGGACCTGGAGTATCTTCAATCCGTGTCCGAAGTTTCTTAAGTGCTCGGGAGGTGAATGCCACGGGAGACGAGGTCAGTCACTCGAGAGACCCACCCAGTTTTTTTTTGAGGTTAGTTTCATAGTTCTGTTGTTTTCAAAGCTACACTTGAAGTTCGCAGTTAGGAGGATCTACTTTGAGGGCAACCCATTCTCAGTTACTGTGTGGAGGTTAGGACAACCCAACAACTACCTATGTGGATTGTCTTGAACATTTCACGAAGAAATCCTGATTGATGTTCGTTACTATGAGTTCTGATATCGTACCTATGACTTATTTGCTAAAAATTACATAGGTCTAGTTGCATTTGCGCAGTCCACACTCAAGCGTACCATCAGTCAGTGGTTGCAGTTCTATCGAACGGCGCTTCGGTAGACAAGTTCGATAGTTGTTTTTGGTTACTCGTGTACTACTGTGTTTAGCTAAGAAGAGATTAGGATTATGTATAAACTCATCTCCTTGCAACTGGTCAATTTTCCATCTATTATTATTGCCACTGTGTACTTCTGTGAAGTGTGGCAACTTGAGCCAATGGACCTGTGTGCAAGGTTCGACGTTGATTTTGTCAATCTATCACTATCCTTATTTCCACCATCACTTCCCTGTACTTTGTCTCTAATGTCTTATTGTGGTTAAGCTGTGTTACTAAGCCTTTGATGTCTGGATCTTATGGTTGCTGCTTGAGATTTTCATTTTAGTTTGAAATCATCTCAAGCAAATGCATGCAAACATAGTGTCTCAAGAATCACCAGCACCACTAGTTTTACTGTTCAGTAGTCAATTTGACACTTACCCGTACACAAACAAACGAACGATATTAGTTTAACTGCGTCTTCAGAAAACATGCTGTTACTTGGCACTTAAAAGTAAGCGTTAACGGGTTATTTCGTACATTCTAGCATACTTTCGAGGTGTTTAAAATATAAGTCGTTTCACTATCTACACATGACTATTCAACTTTCAGTTGAAAAAGTTCGGTTTGATGTTTTTTCAGCGTCAAACCTCATAAAGTTTTTATTCGATAGATACAAAAGCAAGCGTTTCGAAAATCTTTTTTAGTTTGAAAAAATTCTTCTCAGCATCCAACTTGGTATCTTTGGCTGCTGATTACTGAAGAAACCCTATTAGTTACTACTAACTAAAGCTATTTCCAGTGCTTTATACAATCTAGTGTTTTGTATGCATATTAGATGCTTATTAATAATACTGTTACTTCAAGCCTACTTCATTGCTTTTTTAAAATATTTCACCCATGGTCATGCCGATTTAACCGAATTGAAATGCATCTAAAATTAGCTAAGAAGTCAAGATTATTGAATCAGGTGTTCAAGCGCTTTGGTTTACGATGCAAAGTTCATATAATAATTTCGTTGACAGAGAAATCCTTACATATTGTTCAAGTATTTGTTCGGTGAAAGTTTTTCACCATATTCGTGAACCTGGTCTGAAATACATGCGCAACTAAAATTGCAAAAGCTTCATATCTTTTCGAAACAACGAGTGGACTGCGAGAAAACCAATTCTTCTGTATACACAATCAGATTTCTATCGTTGTGATTAATAATTTAGTACTGTCGGAATTAAGTAATTAATCCTACCCTGTTTGGTTGACTAACAATCTTATTTTTCGCATTTTATTCTAAGCCAAAAAGAGTAATTCACTGTCACTGTAGTTCTGTGGCATTCACATCACATACTGATAGATATAACAATGTAAAACTCTGACCTCATGAGACAAACCTCATTGAACTGGAGTACCTAAACGACACTACGCTCCATACCTATCGAATGAAAGATAATGCTTCACGACTGGTTGGCCTGAAGCCACTCACAGTTTAATGATAGGCAGGGATTTCATGGAATTCATTGGTCACTTAACATGGAGAGTTGCAGCTGCCCGGACAGTTTAGTTGCTGGCGAAATCTGAACTCGAATGCAGAGGGTCTGCACTGCAGTACACCCTGTCTGACTATATGACTCTGAGACATTGTTGTCAGAAATAGATCTGAAGAGAATACAGGTTCTCGACCACAGGTGTCTTCGTAGCATTGCTTGCATCTGATGGAATCACTGGGTGAGCGTTGTGGACTTCAGACGTGGGATACCAGGCAAAACAGTCGAGTCATTCGTTGAGGTTGTTAACTCTTACCAACTGAGGTTGATCAGTCACGTTTTGCTCATTTCGAGACACCGTCTACCTCAACGTGCAATGTTAGCCGAAATAGGATTGGGTTGGGTGACCATACCGAAATGTGACAATAGTCTGTAAAGTTGTGGCTGTTGTTCTTAATCGTGTATTGAGGTGTAAACTGGTTGGTTGGGGTCGTCGAGACGATGGAAATCGATGGCTGGAGATTCTTGGTGACATGGTTGAAAACCGGTCAGTGGCGAAGACGTATTCATTGTTTCACATTTTCAGTTATGAATACTTTAAATGACCTTAATCTAATAATTCTCTATCGTTTCATTCACTTTTATTCACCTCAGCATCACCCTTTTTCCCCGCTAGTTGTTTGCGTGCTGTTGTTAATTGTGTTATCGTGAATTGATACACTTCAATACGCTGTCCTACGTTGATATATCTGTTTTCAAAACACCGTTAAACCAGAGTAATTGTTTGCCCTCAAGTTATTTTTTCCCCTATGACCATAATCTCATTGTTCCACAGGGGTAGTAATAAAGTCTATGTACAATGAATTGTAAAATATTCATATCCGTTTTACTGATATAACGTATCATAGAAGACAGCATTACTGCGTAACCGTTCAAGTTACCACACCTCACACCAGAACCAGTAACAGAGTAAACAGATGGAAGATGAATGCAGAAATAAAAATCCCCGAAAAGCGGTAGGATGCTGTCAAAGAGTGGAAGCAAGGATGAGGAAATGCTGCATTCAGTATAGCGGTTAAAATGAAGATAATGTGTAGATTTATCTGCACCTCTGACATCGATTCTGAGGCATATCACTTAGTCTCCAACCACTGGTTTCTGTTGTCACATGGATTCCAGTCAGGTAGTCTGCGTCTCTCTACATAGCTCAGACCAACAGTCAAGGACTTTATCTATTGATCCCGTATTTTAGTTGGATCACCCCAAAACATTTTTCATTCTGAACCTACTTCAACCAACGGTGCGTGTCGATGCAGACGATGACTAGGCATGCGTACCATATGTCCCAGCCATCTTAGTCGAAAGAGATTCACAACCGTATCAACCGACGTTCCTATTTTCCCCCTAAACCTCTACAGATTACTTCTACGTTACTGATTTGGTGACACCACGACACAGCCTATGCTATGAAGGCAACGGTGGTCAAACACACGCCCACTACCTTTAATGGCCATATTTCATAGCCATATAGTAGAACAGAGCGAACTACAGCACAGTACATTCGACCCTTAGTCGACAATCTAACATCGTGGCGGCGCCATAATTGGCGTAACTTGGTGAAAACCAATCGAGCCTTTTATACTCGTGCCGAGATTTCTTCCGTCACTCATCATTCATCCGCCAGGCCTGATCCAACTTCACCTCATTCTTCCTTTCTCTCATTTAGAACTTTATATCTCTTTTGACTAAATTTTCTTTTCATCTTCCACTTCACTGCCTTTTTACTTGATATACTGATATGAGCTGTGGCAACTCGGACCGTTGCGCAATAATGCCTGGTCCTATGTTGATGGATGATAATGATGATCCAACTTCATAGATATATAAAGTGTTCAACCCAACCAAATACTTCACTCTCTGTTGTTAGTTGTGGGACTGCTAAAAAGGAATGGTAGAGCAACAATTGGCATTTGGGTGGCGAGGAATGCATCCCAAGCACTCTCAAATAGCTTGCTAAGGTATACAAAAGACTGCATCTTATCAACATTTTAACCTAACGGAACTACGTCATCTGTATATTCTAGATCTGCCAAGAATTCTTCTGTGATAAGATCAATCTCTGTCAAGTAAGTTGATGAGAGGTAGACCTCCATAAAAACTGCAATGACAAAATTGAACAGGAATGTAGAGAATGGACATCCTTGAAGGACACCACTAGATATACACAACTCACTATAGACTTTAACACCCACAGATGTTCAAGTGAAGAGCCTTCAAGAGTGATGTACTTACTCAGTACCCGTTTCAGTTGGAGACTATCATGAGACCTCTCGATCGACGGTGTCGAACGCCATCTTCAGATGGAGAAATAAAGCTTGCTTGCGTGTGTGTGTGTATACCTGTGTTCCAGAACCTGGTGAGGTATGGATATCTGATCGATACACTCATGGCTAGGTCTGAAGCCTGCCTGGCTTTCTCGGGCTTGCTGCTCCTGAGCTCCACTTAGACGTGCAATGATTAAAGAACTTAAAATCATAGACACTATATTTGTCAGGCTGATTCTTCTGCGGTTATCACAGGAAAATTCCCGACCTTTGCTGAAGATTGGAATGGTCAGTTGTTGAGTCCACTCGGAGGAGATCGTATCTAACTCCTACACACTAGTTAACACTTCAGTTAACGTGACTAAAAATCCCTGACCAACCGTCCTTAAAAACCTCTGAAACTAGTCCATCCGGTCCTGGTGCTCTTCCTTGTTTCAGGTTACTGAATTCTACAAGTGTTCATGATCTCAGTGTTCCACTCAGGATCCGACTGCATAATAGGAGACGAAATAGTAGCTGGAGGCCATTTAGACTGTTGGAGTGTTCCGCCTATCGTTCCAGTCATCTGTCTTGTGAGTCAATCCCAGAAATGTTATTCTCCTCATTTGTCTTATTTACTTACCTCCCCCAATTTCACTAATGAATCTAAGTAACTGTCTACTGTCACATAACACCGCTACCTTTCTAATCTCTTTAACGTTCGCTACCTACCACTGTTCGCAGTCATTGCGTAGACATTTTTTCAGTTTCCGTTTAGATTGCATTCACTCCTCATTGTAATCGGAACCTGCTGGGATGAGTTCGGATGCATCCATTAATTCAGAAAAAGCTGCTGAGACCCATTGGCTCTCTTTAACCACTCTCTGAAATTTAGATACGCTTCTGAACGCTATTTTACAGGATACTGTTATTTTGGGGCTGGATAATTGAAAAGAAACGACAATTGAACCAACACCGCCGGCCCGACAGACCGTGGGGTATGGTGGAGTGTGTTATTTTTGGAGCCGACCTTTTCTAACCTCCCCCTCTTCCACTGAGAAGGCAGCATCAGCATGGCGGTGCTGGTCATCCAAAGGAAACACCTTACTGGTGTCATACCTCATCCAGCTAGCAGCAGTACGACTTTGCCCTCAGACCCCCATCATAGTGTAGTAATTTACACCACAACGGCAACTGCTTTTCGTCTGACCACTATCCAACAGACCTTTCTGGTATGGTAGGACCTCGAGGGAACAAGTGTTCCACCAGCATAGCGCGTTGTATCATTGTGATATGCAGGCCCGAGTACCACGTCAAGGTAGCAGCTATCCATCGGGCAAGTCACTCAACAAGCTTCACTAGCCAAAACTCTAACAACTTGGGCAACGGATGTGTGTTGTGTTTGTGAGACATTCATACAGGACCCAAATGAGATTATTCACTTAACCTCGCCTACCCAATTCGTGAATTCGCAATATTCATCTCTCGAGTTTCTGGAGATTCAGTGGCCAGTTCTCGCGGTCTTGCAGGTGTAGGTATAGCATTGAGCACTAAGGCAGACAGCTCACTACTCGACTGGGTCCCAGTTGACAGTTGCCTAAGCGTTTTTTGTATGGATGGCACAGTGAAGACTAGAAGGAATAATGAGACTCGTCGTTGTCTTTTTGTAATGTTTGGCGTTCGGATGAGTTCTACTGAAAACTGTCTAGCCTCCTACTGAAAACAAAGCGTTCAGACGTAGAAACCATTACAGGAGATTTCATTGCACAAGTACGGAGGCTATCAGACAGAAAGGCACTTAGGTGGCGCTTTTGGAATCCCAACCAGCATTAGCGTGTTGATGCGCACCTTTCTATGGGTTGGGTGGCTAGGAAAATCTCCCCCGAAAACGCTCTTTGTCGTGCTGCATTCTAATACCGATGGTAAGAGTTTGTTTCTTTCCCGTCATTAACATAATCACTTCTTAACACGAAACCACTACGAAGGCGGTTTTTTACAGGCCTCAATTAGATATCCCCCAAACTCTGTATTTGCGTATAACTGATCCGTTTTTTCGTTCGCGCAGATGTATTCGCTCTATGACGTCTTTTAAAATTGTAGCATTTTACTAACCTTTATTTTTCAAATTCTGTCTTTGCATACAACTTTGATTTCGTTATTTTTCTATCCTCTTGTTCATTGCGTGCCACTATGAAGTGTGGCAAGTTGAAGCAACTTACTTTTTCACGATGACGTGGTTCATTGGCTTAGACATGATATTCAGCCAGTTGATGATGCATCCAAACTCCACATCACCCATTAAGGTTTGATGACTTGGGCAATAATGCACAAACCGGAACGTAGTTACCCTGTTGAAATATCTAAATTTTTTGTGTGGATTCATTACATGAATATAGGGGAAATTCTGCATTCTTGTCTGCCTACACATTGGGACGATAAAGTCCTGTCATTTGCTCTTAGATTGGATTTTAAAGATTTTTAATTAAAGGAATATCAGATTTCAGTGATTTTTCGTGACAAAAGTGGAGCTGATGCTTACTGGCTTGGACCATCGACTACAGAACAATGAATCATGGATTTGAATCATGTTTTACCTATTGAGGTTTGAGATGCTGGATTGTATCATTCATCTTCACACAGCAGATGTTGCTCATCGCGTAGTATATTGGTGATCAAACAATTTCTACATTGTACTTAACTTGTCGTGTAATGTCAAAGAGGGTTTTGTTCACGTATATTACGTGATAACTCTTTGAATGCACTCCAAGCATTTGTCAGTAGACATGATTCAAATTTATTCGTCAGTCAAGTTGCGTTGCAATTATTAAACTTGAATTGAAATTGTGCAAATTCTTCCAATAAATGGCAGCAACTGGCTTTGAGAATTCAACTTTATGATTAGCATTCAAACCTTTGTCACGCCTTTTCACGTTTTGGCTTAGTAATCGACGCAAAATGTATGGGATCTGTCCGTTGTCTTGCTTCCTAATAGTTTTGTGTTACCTACTTTTTCTTGATATCTATCTCACTACTTTTTCTGTTATTATAGACACATGAATGGGCACACAGATAGTGTTCTGCTAACCCGAAACATGACCCAATCAAATAGCTTTACGTCACCAGCTAAACGAGAACGAACACTGGTTAACAATACCCATCGTCACTCTCTGCCACCAAATGTATCACTGAAGTCTCCTATCCAACGTCGAAATGCAATTTCTTCACCATCAAATCGAATGGTTAAACTCCCTAATGTGGTGGAGACTGCATCCGTACCAAATTTTCAGTATAAATTAACTTGTGTCATACGTGAAGCACATAATCAATCGTTTTTGGTGTCGCATTTAACTCAATCAACCGAAGTCAACCAACTGATCCGCTTCTTTTTGCTACGGTCGCAGGTCATTATGTAAGTCTAGTTTGTTTATGAATCAGGACTCGATATATGACTTCTAATCTATTTCTTTTATCCTCTTCATCCCGTCCTATTTTTGTTTTATATCTGATATCTCTGATATTTTTTACCTCTACTCATTATATAGATCACAGTCTATCAGTGTAACTTGAACATTGATTTAGAGGAAATATCTATTGAAAATCCTCCCGAAATACCAACTGTTCATCTACTTCATTCTTTCTCTGATCCTGCTGGTGATAAAGAAGAGTTTTATTGTTGCGCTTGGTCTCGTGATACAATTGGGAATGGTGCGTCTGATTTGTGGACTGATTGTTGTGAAAGTCTTCAACCCGTCCAACTCCTCATCCTCATCAAGGTCCAGTTAAGTTGTCTAGCACTTCGATTCTTCCTCCTCACCAGCAAATTATCGCTGCAGCAGGTAAACGTGGTGTGATTCGGATCTTGTGTCCCACTTTGGCTAGTTGCCCTGCTAGTCTTATTGGTCACGGGTCATCTATCAATGAGTTGAGATTTCATCCAAGAGATCCTGCACTTCTATTTTCGTTTAGTAAAGGTTAGTAAAATTTATCTTCTTGTATTTCACTCCTACTATGTCATAATCGCTCGGCGATTTGTTAAGCAACACGAATTTGTTGTCAATATCAGTGACCAACTTGCTATTCAAGTAGAATATGGAGTCAAAAAACTGCAATAATACACTTTGTTTAAATGGTTCAGACACATACAGTTACGAAGTTTTCAACCCTCTTGTTCTCGTTGAAGCTAATAAGATTATCAAATTTCCGAATAACAAAAAGCTACATCATACATTCACATTTCGTTCATTAGCATCATTTTCATTATGCCTAACAAAGTTCATGATACTGGTATTATGATCTTAGTGGTAAACTAATATGAGTTCACTCGCCACCTTTTGACTATTTAAAAATGCAAGTTTGATTTCTTACAAACTTGATACCCAACCGACTAATAAAACATTGATGTATGTTAAATGTAAAAGGACCCTATCATGATAAAAATTCATACCAGGTTATGCGCTGGATTTATGCGGCATCCAGCATTTCTGAATATTTCCTACCTTATTCCATGCAAACTCTCAAAAAGCTTTCAACAAGTTGTAACGTAATGTCAAGCCTTGCACTAAGGCTAACTGAATACATTGTGGTAAATTACTCTGAAATAGCCTGGGCCCTAAAGTCTTAAACATAGATTTGTATCTCTAGATTGGCTACTAGTGGGAGTTGCTGCGGTGAATAAAAAAGACCACAATTCGCAACAGGTCCATTGTACCCTAAACTTGACTCCTGTATTAGTTTTTAAAAGAATATCGTAACCTAAACCCTGAAGTTCGTGCCTTGTTTTCCCCGCTAAAGCTGATCACAACTAGTAGTCACATAGCCGTAATCACTTAACTGTTAGTATCTCTTCAAGCGAATGCCAATTTCCGACCAGTAAACCGGTAGTATTTGATAAAAACTTTACACAAATACAAAAGATTCGGTCAATTTTTAGCATTTAATAGCATGTGCAGTTTTCAAATATCAGCAGGAGTAATTAGCATACAGTGTGTGCATCAGTAGCTGTCTCTATTGTACTGAACGGCGAAGTCTGATGCTGACGACAGAACATCCGAGGGACCATGGGTATGATATTTGTACTTCTAAGCGCTTCACAATTATCAATGGACAGCGGAGTATGATGCTTGCAATTGCAAAAGCCTATGTGATTCGAGGCATCAAACCGAAAAACGTTTACGTACAAAAGCATATAGTATTCAACTTTAATTTACTGTGGTGTAGTACTTGTAGCGTGGTATAACCACATGTATTCTTTCTCACCTGCTCTCCACCTTCAATTAATACCCCCTATCCTGTTGTTCTAGTTTTCCACTCTTAGTCTGTTTCCTTTGATTAATCTCATTTCGACTGTTATTGTTAATACTATTATTATTACTTTCGATATGTACCTAGTTTTCGTATGACGCTTAGCTCCATATTGTTACCATTCGTTTGAATCGACTACTGACTGTTTTGTTCACAGAATGACGTAATCTATCTCCAACCTATTCAATATGAACATCCACTCTAACCTTTTGTATTACCACATGACCAGTAAAGATTGTTCATTTCTATGTTGCAATACTTTAATCAGTGTCTCAGTTTGTGTTATGGATGTGTATTTTTTTTTCATGTATCACGCAGTGGTATGTGTAATCAAGCATGTAGAATATACAGGTGATGATTACTACTGAAATTAATGATTTCATTCAACTTAGCTTTTTTTTCCACATTCTTTGGTAGTTATAAATTTACATAGGGAAGTAAATGTACTGTTCTCCTGTAGCCTTCTTACAACCCAATCCTTTTGTGGCCAACATCACACGTTAATGTGCGTAGTGGCTCGACCTGCAGAACACCTATACAAGCTGTCGCAGTCGGTGAAGATCCAAAACCTCAAAGAAACAAATAGCACCAACTTAAGAAATGACTTACTCTTGATCTGAATTGTGTGATTAACTGTAGATTCACTAACTAGGGTTCGGTTGATAGGAAATGTTGATAGTTAGATTCATGAACACATAACGATTGATAAAAATGGCATTGTTATTCAATCTTTATCTTACGATAAGTAACGTACATTTTATCCCTCATTTATGTTTTCCATCCTTATCTTGTTTTCACTTTACATCCTATTGTAATGCATGCTCCATTGTTCTTTTCTTTTCCTTTCGATTTCATTTTGAAATATGTAACAGTGATATACTATCTTAAATTGTACAATATTTCTCAATACTTCCTAGTAACGTAATCTTCTAGGCTTAATTCAGTTAGAAAATACTTTAGATTTAAATGTTGGGAAAAACTTGTTGGTATTTGTTGGAAGTTCTACATAGCATGACAAGTTTAACTGCGAATCGTCGAATATTCAGAGACATTAATCTGCTAACTATCAGTCTTTCGTGGAAGGAGATATCCCTCATTTTCGTTTGAACCAGTGACTTTGCCAGTGAGATACCGATCTCTTGTTAAAGATCATGTCCTACGATTGTGACATGTGATAGCCAACTGTGTCAAGAATTGTTGCTACTCACCGGAAGGAAGAGAAATATTTCAATGTAAAATTTCATTTATGTATAAGTGACCTTAAAGTATACATCCAAAATTGAATACACTACAGTTTAACTGGGTCGATAACATCCTTGTTTGTAAACAGTTAGTCTGAAGATGAAGTGTGAGAATGAGTAGTTCTAAATCCAGTCTTTGATGAACAGAAACGACATCAGATAAAAGTGTTATTACATGGATATACATGTGGACTAAAATCCACTTCACGTGCGACCACATGCAGATTGGAATCTTCAATCACCGGGAGAAACGTATGTGTATAAAAAGTGAGTAACATTTGTATGAGACAATTCAAAACAACGAATTTGGAACATTTAGTTCTTTATGTGGTTTTCCTGTTGTCCCACAGACAAACTGGTAAACAACAAAAGAGGACCTAGTATTCTTTTGTACCAGTCCAAGCTGCAGTACTTCACACCATACAGAGGTAGAAGTTGACAAGTGGGAAGACAAACAGAAGGAAATAGCTGTGTGAGGTTTTAAACAGCCGCTAGAGGAATATAATGCATTATTGCTTCATGACAGTTGTTGTTGTTGCTTCATCGACATCAAGCTTCCTGCTGCTGGTGGCTTGAAGGAACTGAGATTATTTCTGACTACTGTCAAATACGGTTGTTACTTTGTCTCACTTGCGCATCACGGTTCGATATTTAAACATTTACGGTCAACCCTGACCACACTCAGTTTTGATCTGTCTCGAGTTTCAGCGGAAACGACTTGCTTAAAACTTGGTCTCTTTTTAAAGTAACGCCTTTAGTACAACAGTCGGGAAGAAATTGGCAGTCGTTAAAAGAAGACAGAAAGCATACCAGGCAATATTCACGTGGGAAATATATTTACTGTCCCTTGAGTTATATATTTTAATCATAGAAATGACTGCAATATCTGATCAGCTTTCATTTGTTAGTCTAATTGTCAGCCGTAATTAACAGTTATTTTGGACCTCTACTCCACCATAAATTATGGAGACATGTCGAGAGGATATCACTTCTTTTACCAGCCTTTTTCCCAACATAAGCTATTCTTCTTATCTAACAATACACAAACAAATTAAAGAAATCCAATTGTGTAAACCAGCTAAGACTCAAGCTAACAATGTAGTTCAAATAATAGCAATGTGACATGGCAATATATCTGAGTTAGCAAATAAGTTCATGTAGTGCACACTTTTCCATCTATATAAAAAAAGTGTATTAAGAGAACTTGACTGAAATGTGACTTCACGGAAGGGTCGGTAGCCATAAACCGTCGACACTTTAAATTGCTGTCGTAGAGAGCTTCACACACCTGAAAAGTCAAATGAGCCATGATACTTTAGTTACCGATGGAATCTCCAAACTCTATACAAAAACCTTCGTAAATCTTAAGCAAAATTACTCCTCTGACGGTACTTGCTTGACGTCCGATTGCATATTAAAGTCGAAAGCACTGGCAGGCAGTTTCTTCTGTTCCAGACGAAATCAACGTAAAACCACGTACTGAATTATATCAGTTCAAGCTGTCAAACTTCACAGTAGTAGATGAAGAACAAGAGGACAGAAAGATAATGAAATTCAAGAATACAAAACAGTATGGGAGGAGATTAGTGAAACTGCGCCATTGGACCGGTTTTAACCATATCACCAAGAGACCGAAAACACCAGACCAAAGAAAATCTGACTGGTTTCAATTTTGGAAGAGGGTGCATCAATCAAATTATCACGCTTCGACAAGTTATGGAACACAAGCACATTTACCGATGGTTGATATCCACCACTTTCCTCGACGTGAAGTTGACGTTCGAATCAACCTACTGAGAAGTATTATGGAAGTATCAGGTAATTATGTAACGTTAATCAGAAGTCTGCACTCTCACACAGGCACGTTACAGCTTATGGGGAGTTGTCATCTGAATTATCGATAATCAATAGTGCCCCGTATCATCTTTTCTGTACATCTGACAGCCGGTTCTTCGTCGCGTTCTGATAGCCACTCTGCTGATGAAACCTGGTGCTTTGGATTATACTCAGGTAATAAAGTTTTCTTTTTCGTTTCTCAGTCACATTTTTTGGTATCAGCTTCATTTTCCAACTTAGTTTATTCACAATAACTGAAAACGTTGAACCACCAAGTCTTTTAACCGTTCTCATATCTCGTAGGTGTTTAGGTCAGAAAAGAAATGAGGATAAATGAGTACTTTCTTTTAGCAGTCACACTTTACAGAGTATCATCAGCAACTTTCTACAGTATTATTAATCACTTGTAGTTCACAAACGAATTACCGAATTTCCAGTTATGCATTTACTCGTCTATTTAGAAAAAAATTGCAGAATAGTACACGAGTTAAAACTGCAAATTTAACGCACGGAAGGGTGAAAAAGTCAGCAAGGTGGGTTGAATATTAGAATAGAATGAGAAATAAAAGTGCGAAAATGGAGGTAAGTAAGCATGAGATCGAAAGATAGCTTAAATTTAGAACGAAATAAACAATAAATGTGTCTTCTCTACTATAATTTACTTTCATTTGCTTCATCAAAGGTTTCCAAACATTAAATGTATCTTGCCGACTATACCCACGTATTTTGGTGGAATAGTATTGCTTTAAATTTTTTCCAGGAATCTGAACCATAAATGGTAATTTGATTTCTCTTCATATAAGACAAATTTAGACTGACCAATGAAATCCAAAACATAGGATTTGCCTGAAATACGGTACCTGATTGTTGAAATAAAAGTAGCTGGTTGAGAAAGTGGCTCAGTGGTTTCATATAGAAAATCTATTGTCGGGAACGAAAAGAGGGAGACGAAGGAAGGAATGTTTATGATTGACCTCTTGTACAGTAGTCGTACTCTTGGCTGGATAAGGATTTGACAGCAGTTACATCTTTCCCTTGAATGACCGGCATTACCATGCTAATGTTACCTTCCCTACAGAAAGATGAGAAGGGGGTTAGGAAGGGTTAACCCTAGGGCATGCCAATGCCGGTGATCTGGGTTTATAGTCGTACTTGAATCTCAAAACCGGAAGAAGACCGTATGTGGTCGACTCCAAGCAGATGTCGCTTGGAACTGCAGCCATGCACTAACCCTTCTTTTATAAGTATCTCAAGAAGAAATAGCATTCCACAATGTAGCCGGTTGGGAAACGTCAACCGTCCTCCAAACACTGTCAGCATTCAAGTCCCTTCAGATCACTACCCACCTTCCACACCCTTACCTTCTAATCTTCCTACACATCTCTCAGTTGACAATCCCACATCATATTGAATTTCTTCCAACTCTGCACCTCTCTACAAAAATCTGAATTCACAAAACAGCACCCTTGGTTTCCTGAAACCGCGCTTCAAATTACACATTGGAACTCTCAATATCCTCACTCTCCGTCAAATTGGTCAACAAACTTTACTGGCCAAATCTCTAACAACTCGGGCCACGGATGTGTGCTGCGTTTGTGAGACACACATACAGCACCCAAGCGCGGTTATTCACTTAACCTTACCTGGTCAATACTGTGAATCCGCAAGATTCGCTCTTCGAGTTTCTAGAGACTTCGATGGGCAATTCTGGTGATCTTGCAGGTGTAGGTATAGCATCAAGCATTAATGCAGAAATCGTCTACTCGACTGGATCCTTGTTGAAAGTCACTTGTACGCTGTTTGATTGAACGGCACGGTGAGGGCTGAAAAGGGTAGTGAAACTCGCAGCTGTCGCTTTGTAATTTATCGTGACATATCCATTGGCTGAAGTTCGGATGAGTTCTGCCGAAAGCTGCATACCCTTTTACTGAAAGCCAAGCGCTCAGATGTGGTAGTTGTTGCAAGTGATTTCAATGCATAGGTGGGTAAGCTAAGTCAGACACTTACGGAATCCCTGTCAGCTGGCCAAATAACGGTGATCGCCTACTGCAACTGTACTCAGATAACCATTAGTTTCTAGCCAGCACAAACTTTAGGCATGAAGAGACACATTGTCTGACGTGGCGATCCACGACCTCAACTCAGCAGTGAACAGAGACAAACCACACTGCTATCAGTCATAGCTGCAGAGGGTCAGCGGGTGACTGTTGCTCCTTCTAGAGCACGTATTTGGACAGAGACTACGCACCAGTTCGAGAGAGTATAAGTCTGAGGCTAAACGGATGTAGGTAAAGTTTAGCAACAAGAACATTGCGAAAGCAAATCGAAAATGACCTCACTAAGGCCGCTTTCAGTGGGAAACTGCCAAAACAGTTCTCAGAACAGAACAACATAAGTCACCTGGAGGAAGCCTGGTGCCATCTCCAGTCTGCTGTAAAGATAGTGTCGAAGACCGAACCTGACTCCCTCAGAGCCAGTGGATATCAGCCACGTTTTCTCAATTAATGGACAGACGCGAACGCATCCTTGCAGGCTCCGAGTCCAATGAGGAGCTAATGTGAATCAAACGCAGACTGACTAATGGGTGTACCCACCAGTCATTCACACTTCGCCAGATTCTGCAACACAGGCCCACCGACACTGGCTGTATTTCTCGACTTGAAGGCGACACAACTCCGCCCATCCAGAGGTCTTATGGCTGTGTAACTCACTGAAAGGGGTATCGAGTAAGCACATCATTCTGTTGAAGGCTCTTTGCTCGAACACCTGTAGAGGTTTTAGAGCCTATAGTAAGTTGTCAGGTGAGCTGCGTTCGTCGAGTGGTACCTATCAAGGATGCCCACTCT